ATGACGTGTTCACGTTGAGTACCACTGTTGGTGGAGTGGTAGCGCCGGTGATGACCCCTGGCGGAAGGCAGGCCTTGATGGCAGGCGAGAATTGAGCGAGCCTCTTCTGCATGTGGCGGCTTCCGTGAACGATTGTCTCTCGCGATGTGTCTGCCGTGGATGGCACCGCGGGCCACCTGCGGTAGGCCAATGTAATGAGTCAAACGTTGGCGATGCCGCCTTGGGTTTGTTATGGTCTCTGTCATGTTATAGTGTGTTCGTCATCTTATATTGTTTGAGTGTTTGGTGATATTGTGTAATGATGAAGTACCATGTTAATTACAATTGATGTATCATTCGGCGGACGATATCGTCGTTATAAATTAGTCAAATAAATGTTGTTGGCGTCCTTTCACTCCAAGAGCGTGGCGTGGCGCACGCTCACCATATCGAGACCCCACAAGCTTTTACCGCAGGCACACAAGGTGGGCCTGAACATGACGATGCCGAGAGACGGTTATGCACCAATGAGTAATACTGCTCAGCAACCATAGCTTGGGACAGAGACTTGTGCCGTACGGCGAGTCTTCAGTGCGAAGGGCAGAGTTCCGCCGTAGCTCTCTGGCTCCATGTTCATGTGGTGACTACTCCGATGGCCGAGGATGTTGCTCCGACGCGCCAAGATAGATCTCGTTTTTTATCTTGAAGGGCAGGCCATATTCTCGGTATGATGGTGCGTCAAGTATCAGTGGTCTAATGATTTGTGCTTCTTAAGACGTGGGCCGGTTGCCACCTGTATGCATGCATGTATGTAGTAAATACCTCGCAGCACATTTAGGGAGTGAATGATGATGAGTATGGCTAGCTTCGGAGGGTGTGATCGGCAAACCATGAATCATCCGCTGGCCGCATCAGTCTCTCATCTGTCGGTCTGTCTGTTTGACACACGGATGAATGAATGAACGCACGGATGTACAGACAGACAAACAGATGCATGGATGAACGAAAGCATGGACAAACGAACAGACGGACGCACGGAAGCAAGAAGGAACAGAAGCACGGACGGACTGGCTGACGCTTCGCCCCACTCATCATTCCCTCCGTGAATATTCTGTGATTTTTTATCAATGCGGTTAACGATGATGATAATGTATAGTGTTTAACGTCTCAAAAAAACCATATGATTATGAGAGACGGCGTAGTGGAGGGCTCCGGAAGTTTTGACCACCTGGGGTTCTTTAACATGCACCAAATCTGAGCACACGGGCCTACTACAGAGTTTCCGCCTCCGTCGGAAATGAAGCTGCCGCAGGCGGGATTCAGTCCCGCGACCTGCGGGTACGCAGTCGAGTACCTTAGCCATTAGACGACTGCGGCGGGCATATGCTGCTAACGCTCTTTTCGCCCATACGTTTTGTAGAAAGAGGAAAAGCCTTTTCGTGCGCAAAGGGGTTTAGGAAAGCGTTCACTTGGGACTTAGCGCATGTTTTCAGCAGTCCTTGAGCAGCTTGTGGAAATATACTCACTCATTCAATTGGGCATTTGGTTGAAGCAAAGAAAATAGTAAAAAAGGGCGCCCGAATTTTCCCATGTGGGATTTCGTTTGAATGCGTCACAGAGAAGGGGGGGGGGATGGTGTCGCGTGCATGATGCGTAATTGGGAATAATTTCAAAATGCTTATTTTTTCTATCGCCTTAATTATTCTTATTTATCGAATGAACGAAAACCGTTGCCTTCGCCCTGCCGCGGTGGTCTAGTGGCTCAGGTACTCGACTGCTGACCCGCAGGTTGCGGGATTGAATATCGGGTCGGCGGCTGCATTTCCGATGGAGGCGGATATGCTGTAGGCCCGTGTGTTCTCATTTGGGTGCATAATAAAGAACCCCAGGTGGTCGAAATTTCTGGAGTCCTCCACTACGGCGTCTCTCAGAATCATATCGTGGTTTTGGAACGTTAAACCCCTCAAATCAATCAATCAAACCAGCGTTGCCTTCATTGAGTGGTGGGACGCTGATGTTAGGTTGTGCCCCTTTACTTGTTGAAGGTACGTTTGCTTCCATTACATATATACTAGAGTCAAGCAAACCTTATAGTCAAGCAAGTCATCTAAAAACGCCCTTGACTGAAGTCCAAACGCGTGCTCCGCCACTTATCCCCACACCGCCCGCGTTTGAGGTACGGCAGTACGGGGAGAGGTCCGCGCCCCAACTACAACCCGCTACTCGGCTTTCTGAAGGACTGGTTGTGTCTTATCGTGTAATGATTCCTGGAGCGACAGTTTTGCGGGTGCCTTCCTTGGCCGGCACTGGATGCGAGACGCGAGCATGCGCAGCAGGTATGTGGACGGCGCCGCTGACGTCGAAGTGGGACATCGTGCTACTAAAAATTGTTCCGCGTTTGAAAGACGGCCCTTATGCCAAACCGCTTATTAACATGTTAAAATCATACTTCGTCTTAACAAATACTGATATTTATTGTGGAAAATTTTAAAAGACGGGCCACTCGCATGTTTGGCTCTTTTTGTACACGTGAGAACGCTTGAAATACATGAAGCTTTGTTTTTTATTCGCAAGGCAGGAACTGAACGTGGGCTTGACCCATCATAGACTGTAATTTCCGTAGTGTCTTGAATCGAATAGTGGTTTCAATATGTCAATAAGCAGTATTATGCATGCACACGCCCCACCGCAGTGGTCTAGTGGCTAAGGTACTCGGCTACTGACCCGCAGGTCACGGAATTGAATCCCGGCTGCGGCGGCTGCACTTTTGGTGCTGCAGTTTTGATGAAGACGAAATTGCTGTAGGCCCATGTGCTCAGATTTGGGTGCACGTTAAAAAACCTTAGGTGGTCAAAGTTTTCGCACACCTCCACTACGGTGTCTGTCATAACCATACGGTGGTTTTAGGACGTTAAACCCCCCATATCCACCAATAATATGCATGCACCGTCTCTTTATCTTTTTCTTTGTTGCTTTACGTTTTCTCCCATGTGGAGTTTAAAGTTTTTAATTAACAAAGCAGCGACCGTAAAATGAAGGACATGTTTTACGGAGTTTAATTGATTCTGTGCGTGAATGCAATATGAGCAGGCAGAGGCCGCTACCTTGTTATTGGTTCCAAAACAGCAATGTCAATCTGGGGGAAGCCGTAGTGGAGGGCTTCAAAAGTTTCGACCATCTGGGGTTTTTAAGTATAACCTAAACAGTATACTCATAGTCGTTTGTTTTCGTTTAGCGTGGTTGAAGCATGCATTGGGAACTGAAGCTAGGGTAGCAATCAAAAAGGTGACACACACGTTACCTCATTACGCTGCTCTGTTCCACGCGATAATTGACTTGGAGGTTCCAGTGTCTTCAATGTTTTACAGCGAAAGCTGTTATAAAATCCAAGCAAGGGTCATTCTTCGTGCAGTAGTGCTTAGTTGGTGCCGCCACCGATGTCCGCAACTACTATCGCGTGAAATAACAAATTAATAAATAAAAATTGATTGATGATTGGTATGTGGGGTTTCGACGTCCCAAATCCACCATATGATTATTAGAGACACCGTAGTAGAGGGCTCCGGAAATTTCGACCACCTGGGGTTTTTTAACGGGCACCCAAATCTGGGCACACGGGCCTAATAAATAAAAATACCCATGACAGAGTGGGATCGTAACTCGGGCCCCCTGCATGCCAGCACCTCACTTCACCACTTAGCTACGCCGGGGCTTGAAACTGAGTTGCAAGCTGACCCTATTCAGGCTTTATGCGGGTACGGAATCGTGTTAACATGTAAATGGAGTACATTTTTAGAATGGTTAGGTAGCAAACAGGCATCACACAATGAAAAATACGTAACGAGGCGGTCGTCGAATGTTCCAAGCTATTACGAAAGCCCAAGGCATAATTCTTCACCATCGTGAGCCACCGCATCAACAAAAATGTCATTCCCTGCAATGCGTGGCGGGGGACCCACTTTTCCGAATAATGACGAATAATAACGTAGTGGATGCTTCCTACTACACATAACTGTAATAATTTATGACGTGGTGGGTACCCAGCGAGTGCGCATGTGGTAGTTGTCCAAAGTGTGCGAATAAGGCCCTAGAAAGACCGCTCTTCGGACTTTCGTTGTAACTGTGCTCTTTTCACTAAAAGCGCAAACGAAGGTGGTATTACTAGTTGTTGTGCTGTCATCAATCTTTCGCAAGGTCTGCTAATGTGTTCAAAGACCCGGCAAAAATGCGTGCCCACAACTGTGCCGGTGACTGCGTGGTGAATGCTACTGAGTGGAATGGTGGACTGGCGTATCTTCGCTTAAATGCATCGATTACGCACAAATAAGCCGAGAGTAAATAACAGCTTATACAAACGCGAGGGCAGTGGCATTGTGTATAATGGAGGCCTCAGCGAAACAGAATCGTGGAGCGGGTTATGACACGGGCATGTCTAGCCTGCCTAAGATAGCAATTGGGATGTAGGCGAGGACTCAAGTAACACTGGCACAAGCGTATGCTACGACACTCGCATTATCTCAGTTGTGGGGCAGATGAAAGCGGGCAACGTGAGCAATGCAATGGCATGAAACTGGACTGTAACGGTGCTCATGAAAATAGCAATTATTCATTTGCCTAATTTTTCATGAGACTGGGGCGAGCTCGGCTCCTGCCTGTGGACAATTGCTATTAAATACATTTGATTTGTTTTTGTTTAATTTGCGCTACAGTTCAGCACTACAAATGATGCTCTTTATGCTATGCTTCGTTGATTCGCCTTTGGAAAATTTATTCTAGTCTTACGGGAAGAAATACGTCGCCAGCTAGCCTTCTTTAGGAATATCAAGAGTAATGACAAATATTCATGAGAATAATGACAGTGCATGACTGATCACAGTTAAGGCCATCTGCCAAACCTTATTATTATCCACCGACATTAACTCGTCGAAACTGAGAGAACCTCGAATACTTACGAGCATGCTTACGGTATTTTTTAGGATAATTTTGGTTAGACATAGATGAAGTGCGCTGAAATAACTGACCTGCTTGACATCAAAACCATCCGTACGAACCGTAACTCCAGTGGAAATCAGAACAAGTATGACTACGAGTGCCTCTGTTTTCATGTCGCTTTACTTCACTGCCCGCAATTCTTCCACGTGCACACTGTGAAGCTGATCCTGATCGACAATGAGCTGAGAACAAAGCACTGTAACGCCACTTTGTTGTCTCTTACGCAACATCCTAACGCAGATGTATGGCATTGTTTCGCGCGCAGGCTTCATCGAGAGCAGAGTGAGGTATTGAAATATATTAAAGGTAGGAACACTTCCAGGTATAGGAAATGTCGGTTTATGATGTCGCTGATGGGGGGGATGACAATTTCGCTGAACTGTCTTGAGGCGCTACGGATGAGGTGATTACGATTACAAAACGTGGCGATGACCCAACGATTATTTCCAAGTAGCCTCATTTTCTTGCTATAGCTGGATTTTGATTCAGTTTCCATCAACGTTTCTGGTGGTCCACTTTGTTGCGTGTTTCGCCCCGCCGCGGTGGTATAGTGGCTGAAGTACTCGGCTGCTGACTCGCACGTCACGCGATCGGATCCCGGCTGCAGCGACTGCATTTCCGATGGAGGTGGAAATGTTGTAGGCCTGTGTGCTCAGATTTGGGTGCATGTTAAAGAAACCCAGGGGGTCTGAATTTCCGGAGACCTCACAACAGCGTCTCTCGTAATCATATGGTGGTTTTGGGACGTTAAACCCCACATATCAATCAACTGCTGCGTGTTTCTTTCCTAACTTTGCATTTCGCACTAAATATATAGCGCAGCCTTTTTAGCCATTTTAATCGTAATCTTCTCTTGTTGAACTGTCACACATTTGAAGTACTTCATTTGATCGACAATTGCTCTTCCACAGTATCCTCGGTACGACACCGAAGTTTCAACATCAATAGTGTTGAGGGAACTTATCAAAATCAAAACTTGCACAGCCTTTTTGCAGCTCCTTGCTATAAAAATATATACAATCTTTCGAAAAAGACAAAGTTCGAACCAGTTGTTGGTCTAGGCTTCCATTGGCACAATAGACAAAATTGTCTCACCGAGGAAGCTTTCTCTTCTTTAAGATGTGGGGGAATTTTTTGTTGATTTTTGTACGAACCTGTAATTATCAATGAAAATAAAGTTTCCAAACATTATCATGTCTCAGCATCCAATTTTATTATTGTCTAGGGTAATCTTGCTGGGCTTTCGTTTTTATTTTGTATGTCGAGCCGGGCAGAATCTCAGTCGTCTAGGTTTTGGCTTCACCAGGCCTTCAATGAAGTCAGAGGGCTCGAGACGAGCTTGTGCAAACGAATGTAGCCCGCGTGTTACTCTACCACCTATGACTCACGAAGCTGCTTTAGCTATGTCTCAACCCACAGAAATGCGATGAAAGCCCACAGGTTAATATATCCACATCATCGCAAGCGAGCATGAACTTCCTATATGTAAGGCTCAGAGGCATAAGACTGAAGGCACGCAGGCTCTGCCTTTTGTCAACAGCATGCCTTACTGAAACTGAAAACACTTTGACGCTACGGGGCGATGCTTACAGACGTACAAAGAATGATCACACCAAACTCGCAACGCAGGCAACGAGTTCAGTCTTTGGTAGTCTCGCCTGATGCCTGGCCCAATGCACCTTCTAATGAGAAAGTGACGAAATGCTAAGTGGAGCAGTTGCGGATGTTGCCAAATATCCAGAGACATGGGAGACGGGAATAGCGGGATGCTATTTTTTGCCCCCGTCAAGCCACAACAGCACTTGCCCTCACGAAAGCTAGAACAGTGCTCTCACTTTCCCTAAGCCACAATGCAAAAATTGTTTGCACTCCCAAGAGGAAATTTTGCTGACTACAATGGCCAAGCGTTTATTCCTTCCGACTGATTACTAATCTTTCTATAGCAACACCCACTGCACCCACGTCTACTCGCATGGGCTCTGCATAACAACTGGCAGCATGGTTACGTTGCCGTAGAAGCACGGCGAGAATGACGACAGCCGTTGTCAACCCCACTTGATTTGCCCTATATCTGCGTAGCGTTGGCTTTTGCCCAGTGTAATTGAACTACCTATAACCACGCGATGGTGCTCGGCGAATAGGGGCGCTGACCGCCTGTAGCCGGAGCGAGCGGCGCCCGCAAAACAGTGGCGCCACTCTGCTACATAAAGGTAGCATGAGCAGTAACTCTACTCACACACGGAGGAAGGAAAGATAGGAGAGGCCCTGACGTCACTCATTGTGAAGCGGCGAGGAAGCCGGAAGTCAGCCATATTGACTGGGCAAATTCTGCTCTATTGTTTACATCCGAATGTAAAGCAGAAGGCGCGACTCGCTCTCCAGCTCGAAAAGCACGTGGGCGGCGCAGCGCGTGTGTCGTGACAATCCGAAACTAATGGAATCAGGCTCATCACTCTGAGCCAGCGGAACACCTTCTGTGAAAAGATTTCGTCCAAGTAATAACAGGGAGTAACGGCTCGCCGACAACGAAGCAACCACATCAGAACGCGCACTATATGCACTGACAACGGCGAGTGTTTTCACGTCATTATTTCAGCAACTGTACAGACAACACGATAGGTCATGCGTCTTCTGCGGTTACATTCCACCACGTGGTCGACGCAGCGTCCGGTGTTACGACCGGCCCTAGGGAACCAAGCAAGAGGAGTTGCGGGGAGAACCGGTTCTTGACCGACTGCGTTGTCGACCCCCACCTCCCCATTCAGGCTCCCCCCTCTCGCCGGGAGAATTCCGGAATCTGCTGTGCGTTCGTGACCATGTTTGGGCATTTTTTAGGGCGTCGTGACCATATATGGACATCGTGTTAGGTTGTGCCACTCCATGTGTTGTGAGAGGTGTTTCCCCCTCCATCGTTGCCGAGGTGCCGGGGCCACCGTATTGGCGGACGATGCGGACAATGCGCCCAGTGTCGACAACGCGGCGCTATAAAATGCCGAAGACGTTTTGTATCGCTCACTCTTCTCTCTTTGGATCAGTTGATCACTTCTCCACATGTAAATAAATCTCTGTTGTTCGTTCGGGCGCTTCTTCTCGCTGAATTGTTGGACGATGGATCCTGCGACGGGGCCAGCTACCGAAAACGAGACCGGCAGGACCCGGAGTCCCAACAACTGGATGGCGGCGGCGGGATGCTGATAACCCCGAAAGCGACCACTGGACGGAGTGAGCCCGAAGTCCAACAACGGGACGACAGGAGAAGGATGACACGAGCTCATCGACTTCCAGAGGGAATCTAACGGCACTTCTGAGAGGCATGACGCCGGAGACATGACTGCGAACTGGGTGAGTGTCGGCTTTCTTCGTTAAATTTTACCAGGCATTTACTCTATGTGTTAAGTAAAAGCTGGTAGAGAGGGGCTGTCTTGGTCATTGGGTTCACAGGTAACTTGCGTCAGGCAGAAATTGTGTGATAGCTTGGTTAAGCTCTTTCTGTCAGTGGCGTCAAGGTTAACAGTGGCAGGGCAGGATTTCGTATAAGAGCTTTTTGAAGCTGCATTTGTAGACTAAGTTAACGGAAAACTTGAGGCAAGGCAGGAACCTAGAGCTGTCGTTGCCGTCAAGGTTAATTAGTTGCAGGACAGGAATCTTTGTGGAGCAGAGACAGCGGTACTGGAGGCAGCCATGAATCTGAAATCCCTGCGAAAGTCCATGTTGTTGCTACTTGCAAGGTAGTTGAATCTGGAGGTGTCGGACTCTCTAAGAAAGCCAGAGCTGATAGAGGCGATTCTCGCATTGGGGGCGGAGGATGACGAGCTGTCAGAATGTGTCGAGGAGATTCAGGAGAGGCAAGCGGCAGAGGCCGAAAGAAAGGCGGCGGAGGCCGAAAGGAAAGAGGCAGAAGCCGAGGCAGATAAGATGCGAAAGCACCAGCTTGAAATGAAGTGCCTCGAGCTAGAGATTATCCATAATAGTAGAGCAGGAGGCAGCGAGGCATCCGGTACCGCCGAGCGGGTCAGGTTCAAAATGACAGACCTAATGAGATCGTACAAGCTAGGGGAGGACATTGGGCTGTTCCTCGTCAACTTTGAGAAAACTTGTGAAAGGCAAGGTTTCAGCCAGGATACATGGCCTCAACGCTTGTTGTCCCTACTTCCGGGGGAGGCCTCAGAAGTAATCGCGCGCCTCACGAAAGAGGAGGCTGACGAGTACAGTGAAGTAAAGTCGAGCCTTCTCAAGAAATACAGGTTGTCAGCGGAAGGTTTCAGACAAAAATTTCGCAACGCCGTAAAAGAGAACAATGATTCATACCCGGAGTTTGCTTACAAGTTAATGGCCAACATGGGGGAGTGGCTCAAAGAGGCAAAGGCGTATGGGAATCATGACAAGGTGCTCGAGTGTATCGGTCTGGAACAATTCTATCAAAGGTTACCAGAAAAGGTGAGGTTCTGGGTGCAGAATAGACCGGACGTGAACACCGTAACGAAAGCCGCAGAGCTCGCTGAAGAATTCGTTACGCGCCGCGCTCTCGGGGCAAGCAGCGAGCCAAAGAGGGAAAAATTCCTACGACCGAATAAGGCGCCGTTTAGAAAACAACCGACAAGTCTCGCACAAAAGGGTGAGGAAAACAAGGCATCCAACCATGAGGCATCGGCAGAGGCAAGCAAAAAGAAATTTGAGGCAAAAAAACCGGCGGCTTGTTTCAATTGCCACGAAATAGGGCACTTCTTGAAACATTGCCCGAAAGAAAAGGTGGCCTTTTTATCTATAAATGAAGCCGACGAGAACATGAAGTTGTTAGAGCCCTATATGTACGACCTTACCGTGAACGGCAAGCAGTGTCGGGTTCTTAGAGACTCCGCAGCCCCTATGGACGTAGTTCATCCGTCCTTTGTTTTGTCCGGACAGTATTCAGGAGACTTTGCATGGATTAGACAAGCCGTAGAAGCAAACAGTCAGTGCCTTCCCGTAGCTAAAGTTGTCCTTAAAGGCGCATTTGGTGCGTTGGAAACGGAAGCCGCGGTATCGCCATATCTACCCCCTCAGTATCCTTATTTATTTTCAAATAAGTCAGATCAAATGCTGAAGGAGAAAGGTCTAACGTTGGGAGAAGGCATAGTGCAGGCACTGACTAGATCGAGGGCACGTGCGCTGGCTGCGAGAGC